CATGATGTTTAAGGTCCCTTCCACCCCATTTAACTTCCCTTCCAAGCCATTTAACTTTCTAGGGTTTTTTTTGTTTGTTTTGGTTTTTGTTTGTTCTTTGTTTAATAATGTAATAGCCACCCTCCTTTTAACAACATCTTATAGAAAATACAATCATGTGGTTTTATATATACAAAAGAAAAAACAGGGGAATGAGCCTAAGGAAGAAACAAATGGCTTTGCGCCAGCTCTCTAGTTTTCACTTAGTATTACACTAACATTCAGTACTTCTTAATTTATATTCACATACACTGATCTGAGAGAAAAGAAAGCAAGATACATGATTGGTAGACATCAAGCAGTAAACAGGGAAAAAATTCAACACAAGATCTTGAGTTCAGAAATGTAAGTTTAGTATTCTTGGTAAGAGCTCTCATTCATTGCTTTCTGTTTTATGTCTCAGTGAATTATGGAAGGTATAAAATGCTATTAAAAATGACAATGATTTTTCAAGATTTTTATAACCTCCTACATCTGAACAGACCAAAGAACAAAACAGGGGAAAAATAAAGTCTCTCAGCACAGAGATGTACAAAGCACATTAAGAATGAGTCTTGATCAACATAAAATAGTGTTAGAACCGGGTGATATTAAGATCATACTGCTTTACTACTGAATAGTAAGATTTTTATGATTCTACAGTACAGTGACAATTTAAGTGCTCTAAAGTGATCCAGTCTCAATCCCTTCTTTGAACACATGGCCACTCTCCTCCCATACCCCAGATCTGGCACACACATGAGCAGGCAAGCAGCCAATTCCCCCTTTTAGCAGGTCAACTGAGTTGTACTGCAGGTGGTTTTACATGTCAAGTTTTCTTGACGTGTCAAGATTACAAAGGTCTTGCAGCAAGCAAACTAACAATAGACAAAGAAGTCTACAGAAATGATATATAAACAGTACATTAGAAAATCAGATTAGTGCACAAAGTACATCACAAAAATGAAATGGTTCTTGGCATTTTCATAGTAAACTCCAGTGCTTTTATGAATTTTTGCTTGCTTTGCTTGCTTTCTAAGATCTAGATTTACAGCTGGGGCTCTGAACTGTTATAATCTAACAAGCCTAGGACAGAGTCCTCCAGCTACTAAACTTATTAAGACAGCATCTACTTTAGGTTGATACAACATTTAGAAGAACAAAGAAGAATGTGGGGAGTGGTCACAGATTGTTTTATTCATCTTTTCACATTGAATAATGCCACTGTTTATCAAAACCTTTGTATTGAAACACAAAGTCTTAAGACTTTCTATGGCAAAAAGCATCTTTCAACTTTTAAATATATATTTCAGTCAACAATAACAAACATCTCCAAGATGGAATAAATATTATGAACACTCATCTTGCAAAGATTTATGCAGTCTAAAAGAAATGAGAAAATGCATTCCTAGCTTTGGTTCAGTGGGATTACATGCACACTGAGTTAAGCCTTTACAGGTCAAATTGGATGAGTGACAAGACACTTCAAACTCTAAAAATATTCAGCAGCACATTTCAGTTCTCGTTTTCCATCCATAAATAAGTATCCTATAGTAGGAAGTTTACTTTGCTGGTTTTGTTAATACTAAAATATGAAGAGAAAGCAAACAAGGATCAAGATTTCAAGGGTTCTTTTGGGTGCTAAATACCTACACTCTATTAAAATTTAATGAGATTTATATGCTTAAACTTTAGTTTTGTTTAAAACCCAAGCCAAAACTGGATATCCTTAGAAGTTCTGGAATAAGTAGAATAATGCTTGATACATTCAAAATGCCATCAACCTGGCAATTTCATGTAACAGCAGAAGCTGCTTGAACAGACGACTACCAGCTTTGATTATTAAATCTTAAACTAACTGTTCAATGATAGAAAGAATAGAATGTAGTAGTTTCATTTCTTCCCTTTGTTGGTAACAAAAGAAGACTAAGAGTTGCATTTCAAACATTAATAGGCTATGGGGTCAAGAAAAATCCACCTGCATACTGATGAATTCTGATACTGATTACATATCCAAGAGTGGTAGTCATTTATTCTCTACATTTATTACTAGCTTACTGAAGCACTAATACTCTGAGACAAGAGAAGGAAGAGAATGAGGATGGTATATTAATCTGTCAGACAGAGCTAGTAAACACAAAGTAACACAAACATATGTAAGGAATTAAGACTTCCAGAGGTCCTTTACAACTCTTTCTGTCTTTCTATGATCTCATTTGAAATTCCTAAAGAAGTAGAGGAGATAAACACTTCCCCTAGGAAGACAGCTGAAAAAGTTAATGCTGTTCAGCCTGGAGAAGAGAAGGCCCCATGCAGACATAACAGCAGCCTTTCAGTGTCTAAAGGGGAGCTATAAGAAAGGACAGACTCTTTAATAAGATCTGTTGTGACAAGACAAGGGGAAACAGTTTGAAGCAAGATGAGAGATTAGGTTGGATAAGCAAAACTTTGTTGTTGTTGTTTTGTTTTTGTTTCTGGTTTGTTTTTTTTTTTTTTTTTTTTAAGTAGGGGTTGTGATGCACTGGAAGAGGTTGCCCAGAGATGAGGTAGATGCCACATCCTTGGAGAAACTCAAGGTCAGGCTGGATGAGGCTTTGAGCAACCTGATCTAGCTGTGGGTGTTCCTGTTCAAGGTAGGGAAGTTGGACTTCCCCTTTACAATTCCATTCCAATTCAAACAGTTCTACAATTTTATGACACTAAGCTGGGATTCATGTTCTTAGTGGTAAAATTAACTGGACTGTGAAGAAAAAAAAAATTCAGAATTAGGATCTAATTTCATATTTTTATTAAGTTCCACATTTTATATAAGCCACACATGTCTAGACAAAGTTTTTAAAAACCTGGTTCCTAAAGGTAATCTTGAAACAAACAAGTAGAAGTACACATGGAGTAACTGCTGCCAGATGCTGTACATCTTCCTGAATACCACATTAAACTCACATTAATGGTGTAGCCTTTTTCTTGTTTTCGATTACCTCAAAGCCAGCAACAACTAACCTAAGCCCAAGTTCTACAATATAGACTGGTACTGCAAGCAGGAAGTCAAGGTATTTTAGCAAATAGCTGGTCTTTCTCATTCAATACAGATTTGTTTAATGTTAATCATAAAAAGAGTTCCATAGACTCATTAGCAGCAGTTCAGCAAGTAGAAACTAACTACTTAAGACATAGAAAACCAAATATTATAAGGAATAGTGGTCGAATGTATGACTCCTACAGAGGCAGAAACTAGTGTTTCCTTTTAGTTAAAAATTTTAGACCAATAATGAGCCATAATCACAATAGCAGTTCATGAAAATTACACACAAAATACTATTTCATCTCACTGCAGGGTTTTGTAGAAAAATAGTCTGTTTTTAAATAATGCTTTGACTACTTTGTTTTCTAGTACAGCTCTATTAAAAAGATCTAAGTGATATCTTCAGAATAAATTATTTCTAAATTATTCCCAAACAGCTTGTTAAAAAAAAAAAAAATCTTCCAATAGTGATTTTATTTTATTGTGGTCAGGCATTAATTTAGAGGTTCACATCACTACCAGTATAAAAATTCAGAAGACTACAAAATTATTAGAAATTATGAGATTTGGCATACATGTCATATAATGAAATTCAACAAAATTCTGTCCAACTCTGCTTTTGTGCAGTGATAGTTCTGGCATCATAAAAAATTCCACAAAAAAAGGGAAGTTTTATTTAAGTATGACATAGATCTTAACCATACCCTGGAAATACATTTTTTTCTTTGTAGGACACAGAGATACAACACGACTGCACAGGATAAAAGCAGCCTTAGTATGGCACTGCTGTAACTAATCTCGTTGTAATGTGCACAAAAGGAAGGAAAAAAAAGTAACTTTTTCATCCTAAAAAACTTCCCGTGCCCCTCCTCCTAACACTTCAAAAAGGATACAGCTTTCCTGCTTGAAATCAGTGTGACATTAAAACTTCTAAACTTAGATGCCTACATTGTATAGGAGGTGACAGCACCTCTACTGCTGACAGCTGGATAGATAGTTGTGACAATGCACTGAACTCAGTTCAGACACCTACCTATCAGTATGTATGTCATTTCAGACAACATATTAGATAGACATCAACATACAACTAGCAGGTGTAACACATGGTCTACACGAGGCCCACACATTTTTGTGAGGCTGCAGCTGGGACTAGTTCAGCTAGTCCAGTGTCAGTTGACAGCTAGTTCAATGTCTATCACCTCTTAATTCGCTTCACAGAAGTACCTAGTACCAATTAATTGTGCCTAGGGGAAACTATAGAGCTACTCAGCTCATCTACAAGATGATGGTCAAGTGATTAATTCTTACTTAAACCAGGTATTCCCATGGAGACCAAAAGTGTGACTTCTTCGCAAGTCCAAACAAAATGCAGTTCACTGAAATTTAACTTTTTTGACAGACAAGAGAATACAAGATCTAGAAGTAATTACACAGAATATTTTAACACACCTTTTAGTAAAAAAAACAGTTAAATAGATGTCACAGTAAATCTTTTGGTTTTACTGAGCTTATACTAAGCTGCCATGTGATATGAGGTGACTTTTAGTTGAGCTGTGCTAAATTCTTACTTGAAACAAATAATGTCAATTCAAAATCTGACCCATATCAATCTGAAGTTAGTTGAAAAAACTAGGACTGCCATAATCAAGCATTTTTTCACGATACCTTTTAACCTCTGTCTGCTTCAATTAGTCACTCTTAATTCACTGGAGCTTGACCATTCTTTTAATGTAACAGCAAATCAGAAAATTGGTCAAGCATTCTAAACTACACACCTCATTTACGTTTAACCGAAGAGGCAGAATCTGAAGTTTTGGCCCTACTTGTTTTTTGTTGTTTATGAAATCTATTTTAATACAGAATTCAGAGAAAGCAGAAGACAGAATTTGCATAAGAGAAAACATGGAGAAAACAGGAAAATAAACCCTGAAATTGCTAGTACTTATTAAGTTTTACTTACTATTGACATCAGTGTTAATACATAGTGCTGTAAATTCTGTCCATGATGACGAACCATTTTGGTGTCAGCTGTAACCATCACTTCAACATATCTTGGATAAGAAAGAAAACGTTTTTTCCGGGAATGTGGATTTTTGCCAGCATCCTCCATAGTCAGATTTTTAAAAGCAGACTCTAAACTTGGAGACTTCCATAAAATGTTTCTCTCCTCATTTAAGCTGCTGACATTTGGATGTAGTAAAGTGCTTTTCTTCACCTCCTTTTCTGTAATATAAAAAAAATTAACACAGAATTCAGTTTCTAAATTTAAAAATAGACATGCAACTCTGTCCAAAGTAGACAAAATTATAATTATGAACTTATTTCCAGGAGAACAGGTAAAAGAATAAAAATATAATGCACACAGAAGGAACATAAATTAGATGTCCTGAACACTATCATACAGCTTTTTTCATATATGGATTCAATATCAAAAATTAGTTAAGAAGAGACAGCAGTATTATATAGCTCCTAGAATGCAGAATAATCCAAACAGGAAGGCTGGAATGAAATAAGCACTAGAGCTTAAGCAATGAAAGAATGGAAAATAGTTAATTGAAATAGCCATATTCAAACACAGCCCTTTAACATCAACAAAACCAACAACAGCAAACTATAAAGATTAGACTCCAGTCCTGAACTGACATCATTTATATATGAAAAAAACTATATAAATATAAGTAACTTTCTCGACAGCTCTATTAATATTTGTGGCATAGAATCAGAGTCTAAAAGATACAGCTTGGAGACATCTCAATATTCAGCACTTCCCAATTTGCTACCTTCAGGGGCTTGTGACATCTGAAGAAAACTCATGCCTCGATCAGTCAGTCACTTCAGCAATGCCCACATGAAAACACTTAGAGAGAATTCAGGTATACTTCTTATCTATTCCCTGGAACTTAAGTGCCTAATGTGGTATTCATCCATTCAGATTCAGTCCCTATTATCTTTCTGGAAGCTAGATTTCCTTTTAAGCAGCAGCTGCCAGAGTATAGCTGCCAATCCTTAGCAACTACGTTCTTCAAACAACTTATGAGATCCTGACTCCGGTGTCATTCTTCTTTTGAAAGGATTTAAATATTACATATTTCATCTTCTAGTGGAAGAGCCCTCCTCATTAAGCTTTAATCTACTTCTGAGATGTCAGCTGTCCCCATTAAAGTCAAGACGCAACGTTAAATCCAAATGACAGTAGAGACAAACACCTTGAAGTTTGCTGAGTAGTCACCCGAGACAGTCACAAAATACAAGAATAGCAACTCAAAAAGAACTATTATCTATAACGGTGAATAGAAAAAAGTAAGGGCTGACACAGAAGACCATGCTAGTGAGTACCTATAAATATTTGATGTTTTCAGACTGACTGACTCAATACAACAAAACCAGCTGAAGCAGAACCACACTCATCTTTATTACGTCACAGGAGTCTGAAACTTCAGAACATTGGAAAAAATAGGAACCAGAACCCATACTTAAGATAAGAGCTGAAGACCAATCTGCAGACTAGACAAGACAACTTCAGTACTACACTAAATAAAACTCATTTTGTTTATGAGCACAAAAACAACAAGAGGATGAGCAATAGCCAACATATAGCTATTATTATGTCAAACTCCTCTAATTTTCTTCTATTAAGGAAACAGGATTTATGAGTATGAAATGTATCAGATGTCCTTCCCTGACAGAAAGATTTAAAAAAAAAAAAGTGAGGAAAAATTAGCTAGACAACTTTAGAAATAATCACTGTGATCCAATTTCAAACTAAGAAGGTGAGCTGAAGGAGACTTCAAAGGTGTAGCAGCATTTCATTCACAGTGTGGAAAAAAAACCAAAAAACAACTAGATGTACAGATACCAGAGATTGGGAAGAGCATTAGGAAATGCTGGAAAGGTAGAACAAGTCAAGACAAAAGATTTAACATTTCAATATTGTATCAATGAATAAGTAGGAAACAATTCTGAACAACAAAACAGATGAGGGATTTAAAGTTAGACATATACAATGATTTTCATGATTTTTTTAAACAGGTCATGGAAATCATCTACATTAAAATGTCTAATCATTCAGCTTCTCTTTATAGTCATTGCAGTGAAACAGACATTTCCATGTAGTAAATCATGTTACCCTAAAAGGCATACCTAAAATAAGTCACATGAACCAGAGCCAGCAATCCTTTCTCTCCTCCAAATATAAAAAGAGGAGAAGGATGACTAACACAGATGTAAAATATCTAGAGTTAGATGAGATGGATCACTGTTGTCATTGCAAGTCACATCCTGATCAAGCATAAAATGTTTAGCTTAGAAATACTACTTCCACATGGAAAGCCTTTCCATATACACTTGTCAAAATGCACTAAATGGAAGAACCAACTCTCATGATCACAAGTCTTTTCCCCTTTAAGAAAAAAAACATGACTAACTCAACAAGGCTAGCAATGAAATAGAGAAATATCTTATTTAGGACAAAAATACTACACTAATACTTCTTCCTTCATGAATTCCTTTGCAATGCCCACAAGCCCCAATAGTAATTGGACAGTAATCCCTGGCTCAGTCTTCTGTAGCTGATACAACACATGAAACAGGGAAATTGACTATTCTCTCCATGCTTTTCTTGCAGTAGTTGCTAATACTGGTACTATTCTACAATATGTCAATACTGGCATATTGTACAATACTCAACTCAGCTAAAAGAGCTCTGCTTTGGTTCAGTACATATCTATCATTTAAAACTAATAAATTGGCTCTAAAATCAGCTTCCTGTTATTCAAAGCTTTGCTCTTTACTCTTAAGTGGCAATTATGAATAGGTAGCACCACCTTTCAAAAATACAGAGCTTTAGGAAGAAAAAAGTCTTTAACTGGAGCTCATTCAATGGAAGACAATCATAACTGTAGCTTTATGTATCTACAAAAAAAAAGCAGGTTTTTCTACATTCTGTGTACAAAGTATAATTTTGGAAAAATCCTAGATCACAATATTATGCTACCAAAACAATGCTACTTCTGCAGTTTGCGTTTTCAAACAACTGGCCAGATACTCCTTCAGGTAAAATTCGGTATTTTATTCTCTTCAGATGCTCCCAATGTTGTGTAAGCACTTCTGAAATGCAAATAGATTCAAAATGCATAAAGGCAGATTCCAGTCTCATGTAAGATGTAGAATGGAATTAGACAGGATGTTTCTATATGCCAAACTGAACAAAATTTAACCTGCATTCTCCTTCTTTGAGTCTCTACCTCCAGTATTTTCTCTGAAGCCCAATAAATGAAGCCTGTACACTTCTACTAAAATAAAAGCATTTATTCTCACTGGACTTGAAAACGTTTTAGACAATAAAAATACTTTCAACATGGCACTACTGTAACAGCAAAGGTTAAGATCATTGCTCATATAGGCTTGAGCTTCTACACTGAAACTGGCAACATTAAGTAGATCACATCTCTGTTCATAGACAAATTCTAAACATCTTATCAGTTCTTCCTAATCCTGCTCTTCTGTGTAGCCTTTATAATTTGATAGAAGCTCCAGGTGACTTTCTATCAGCAAAACACTTTCTGACTACGAAATTGCATTCACAACCATGAAAACTAGCTCTGAAGTTTTCCACTCTACTAAAAAAAACACATTAGTTTAAGACATGATGCTTCCTACTCAATTTCTTGTGAGGAATGAAGGTTTTTGTTTTACTTCCAGGTTCCCATTCTCCGCATATGTTCCCACTCTAAAATTATAGTACTCAGCAGTTAACTTACATACTATGACACTATGAAAGTACAACCATTCAGGTGTGACACATCCTAAAATACACATTTAAATTACCCCACTTGCTTTTTTTTTTTTATAAATATGTATTTTGTAGTATGAATATGTTATTAAAATATCCAAAAGGAAAAACATTTACATTAATGGGTAATGTTATATACTTTCATTCTTAAGGAAGACATACATCTCAAATTATTCTTTAAGTTTGCAATAACATATTAACTTTTGTGACTGTAAGCAACAGCAATTCCCAGGGATCTATCCTTTAAGTGTTTAGATACAAAACAACATATGTATGGTGTAAAAACAAATCAAGAGAGAAGTTCCTGAAACACAAGGATATACCATTACATGCCTATTTCCTCCTATATTTAAATTTACCCAGTGGCAGGAAAAGAAGTAATGCTTGCCAAACTTATGTGAGAGAAAAACATAGAGGTCTAGTGAAACAATCTGGAGAAAAATATGTCTTAAAATGGCAAGTTGCCTTTTTTTTTTTTTTAATAAATATGAGAACTAACACTTAAAAAATTGCATTGAAAATGAAAGTGACTATACCTGAAACTTCACAAGGTTTATGGGATTTCTGATACTTTCTATTAATTTCTTCATGCCTGTATATAAGATGTGGTTTGTTATGCTCATCTTCATGTTCACCTCCATCCGTTTTCATCAGAGGTTCTAAAAAATATTCACCATCATGTGCTTTAAAGGTGCCCATCTGAAAGTAAGAGAAGTAATTGCTTTATTCTTTGCTAAAATTAATTTTTATAACTTTCATGATATGAACTATTAAGATAATATTTTCAGATTAATGAAAGTAAATTTGCATGAGACATAAGTAGAAGCTGGAAAGCAAAAGAGTTTCTTTTAGAGTCTTGATCCCCAGAGAGGAATATCGTAATAGAGACTACCTTACTCATAAGTAAGGAGGATATATTAACAGTACAATCAAGGAACACTAACAATATATTGTATGTAATCTTTATACAGACTTAGTAAAACCAAGGTCACTGAAGTAAAAAGAATCAAGGTATAACCAAGCAGGACTGCTGAGGAAACTGCATAGAGAGTAGAAGCCATCAAAAAAGTCAAGGTTTAGCTGCTGTCTGAATTCTAGACTGAGTTGTTGCCTTCTGTCCTTCACATAACTTATACAGCCTTTTTCTTCTAGAACTCTGATTAGTCCACATATTAGCAGCAGCATTAGCCTGCAGTAAGGACTGATGCTAAGGTTCAAACTACCAAAAAAGGACAAGTGTGGCTGCCATGTGAACACTTACAAGCTGATAGATTCTTTCCTGCTGGCATACCCTAAACCCTATTTTAGATAAGAGACATTTAAAATGTTATTTCAGATTTAATGGAAAAAAAAAAAAAAACACCAAAACCAAAAAACAAAAAACACTTTACTGCTGCTTTATTCCTGCAAGTAACTTTTAGTTCTTCCCTACTATCCAGAGCTAGAGCAGATATTCTACACCAGTTTCTTCAGCAACTTGTCCAGTTAACAGCCTTTAAGATTTTATTAAAAAATTATTTCAGCTATGACAAATGTCAACTATGAGAATAACAGCTAGTTATATACAACTAGTGAGTAAAGTTTTCATTTTTCAAACTCATTTTCTAGAATAGCAAACTTCCACTAGAAAAAAAAAAAAGAACAAGAGTTTATTTCCCTATCATTTCAGAGTACAAAAGTCACTAATTCATGTTTTTGAGTGAGTTTCATAACTCTGAGGATCCCACTACTCAGATTCCTTATCTTGTACTCAAGAGCTACCAGTGGTAAACTACCTAAGAATTCAAAAACGTATTCAGGCATGCATTGACCTATACAGTGAACAGCTACCACGATGCACCATGACTGACCTAAGTGAATCTAGTATTGCTGATAGTCCACAAGAAGTAATCCTGCTTTCCTTTTCCTCTATCTATGTACTCCCACAGTTCATTTCAGCACCAGCAATTAAGCTTACATACACAAATTCCACTCTCCAGCTAAGATCTACACTTCCTACCAAAGAATGTTATTTTTCAGATGAAATGGTAAAGATTAGCTGGGGAAACAGAACTATGAAACAGGCAATGCTCCCTCTTTTAAAAGAAGACACTGAGAAGTAGCAGTAACCATGTTTATCTGTAGTTCACAAAAAAAAAAAAAAAAAAAAAAAGAAAAATCACCAGGAAGCAGAACACATTCTCTTTTGTTTACACATAACAAAAGATACATTATATATAAGCTTACAAGGCAGAAAGGTAGGAAAGACAGCTGGAAAGCAAGAGTTCTGAACCACACTTCAGAATTACTGCTTTCAGAATTATCCTAATATGTTTTAAACCAGAAGATTAAAATCCAAGGTACAGGAGGTTCCACCTTTTTAGGCACTACAAAAATTGCACTAGGTTCCCTATCACTTGTTCATGCCCTGGGCAATTGATTCTTGCAGTCTATCAGGATCAACTGTCTGTTTGGTTACGTGCATTTGGCTGATCAAAATCTGTAACACAACCTTTTATCCTTCCTTTAATTCTCTCCTGATAACGTATAGATAAACAACTAATTACTACTGTCACTGACTGGTTAGGTATATATTCCACCTGCAGTCTATGATGAAATTCACTGCACATCTCCTATCCAAGTTGATAAGTCTTTATATTGTATGTGAAAAGAATATATTGCACAACGGGAAAAAAACAACACAGTGCTTTAACAAGTGGTATATTATACCTGCAATTTAAAATCCAAGCTAACATTAAGAACTACTCCACATCAGTAAAATAAATTTGAAATGCAATACTAAAAAAATCCACGCATTTGGAGACTGCAATACCCATATGTGGTTGCCATCAGATTAACAAGTGGAATTCAGCATCTCAAAAGGCAAGTCAGCCAAAAAAAGCTAAGTGAAGCCAATTTTGAAACTACCACCACCAATCCTTACACTAAAGCTTTATTTTCATTAACTGTGTGCTATCTCCTCATTTTCCTAACACAGGTCTACAAAATTCAATCACCAGCTACACTGTTCTGCCTGGTTTGCAGTGCTTCATTCATGAAAAGTCATATTTCATCCGGTGTCAGACAGTAAATAAAAACGGAGTCATTCCTATGAGTTAGGCACACAAAGAAAAGGACTTTAAGATCCAAATTTAAAAAAAAAATAAATAAATAATGGTACTATACTACCAAAAGCAAATAACTTGGAAGTACAGAGGTAGGTTGACAAAGTAACCTAGAAGTAACAGCAGGTTGCTGTTGTCAAATCAGAAGCAAACTGAATTTACTTATTTACAGATGCTTCTCAAACCATGTACCAAGAAATCTGCCATAAGCATTTTACTTCTGTTCTCAGATAGAGATAGAAGTATATTTAAAAGGTCTCTTCAGTAGAAATAGAACTTAAAATCAAGAAGACCCTGCTGTGCATTATAAATAAGTGGTTCAAAGAAAGTAAGAAAGAGGGAACACTACACAGAGCTATACATAAACACAGAACTTGAGGAAATTTATGAGAAAACTCACATGAAAACAGTAATTTATTTCTTGGGTTTAAAATCTTCTGGATGAGTCAGACACTTTATACTCAATACTGAATGGATCAGAATGGCTACTGACTTTATATGATATGCCTCACCAGCTTGAAGTGGCTTAAAACCTGCAGTCTTCATCAATGCATTTGCTCTATTCCAAGAGTAGAAATAAGTATTGCACAATTTATGGTTAAAGTATGTATTGTATGCACATACAAATTACATCCTTGTGTATAATGGCAACTTCGAAGAACATATGGAAAACATAAGGGACATAAAACAACTTTTGGAAACATGGAATTAATATGTCCAACAGCAAAACTAGAACAACTTCAGAAAAATGCTAGGATGACTGTCTTGAAAACATGACTTTAAACTGGCAGACTCCCTCCCAGGTAACTTCTGCTCCTATGAAGGTTTTTCAAGCCCTTACAGCATGGTTCTAACTCCAACTCAAGAACCTGCAAAGAGTTTACAGCAAGGACACTTTCTCATTCAAACTAAGTTACAAAATACCCTCCTCTTGTATTACTCTCCCTCTTTCCCATATCACGTTAATTCAAAGCTCTTCTCAGTCATGCGAGTAAACCCTTCACTCTTCCCTGCCTGCTCCAGGGTTACAATGTTTTCTAATGAAAGTAGTAAGAGATACAGCCTAATTAGCTCCAGGAAGAAAAAAAGCATTAGGGGTTGTCTGATAAAGGTACACTGCCAATATCTGCAGAAGACACTTCTACCAGAAGATAATTCAACTAGAGAAATACAACAAGACAGTTGTAGCTTACTCATTAAACTGAGATAATACAAGAAAGAAAAAACTAATAAATAAGCTAAACAACAGAATAAATAATCCAGCTAATTAAAGAGTTATGCAGTGGAATACCTTTTTGGAAGTGAAATGTATTATTTCTTCCAATCAGGTTCTTAAAGACTGAGTGTAAAATGAAAAAAAAGCACACATGAAAAAATACCTAACTTTAAGTCAAACTGCATGCTCTAACTTCATATTTGCCTCCCAATTTTGTGACACTAGGATTTCATTAGCAGATAGCAATCATATCTCTGGCAGACTAAATCACACTTCTGAGAGTGGGCAGGTGCATTATCAGTTCTGTCAGAAGCGTCCTGGGTAGATAGAAGTGTAGGTCCTGGTTGAATACTATCATGCTTTCACCCAGGAACACAAAAAAACTGTTTATATTCCATTTAATGGCAGAGGGGAAAGACTATTCACATGGGAAGTGGAAAATTCAGACTTAGGTATCCTGGGAGTCTCATTGTAACTCTACTGCAGGCAGCAAAAGACCTGGCTGAAGCCAAATAAAAGAAGGCATTCCTGAAAGCTTATAAGTAAAATGTGTAGTAACAGGCCAGTTATTTTAATATGCTCTCCAGTTCTTTGCTATATACCTATCTGAAAGACGTACAGAAAAAGCAGGTAGAAGAGCCTGCAGGGGTCATAGCAATTAACAAGATTCATTGGAGTGGAAGGAAAATGGAAGGGAATGAGATGGCCCATTTATCCCTAAAACTTACAGTGAACTAGTTGGACAAATCAAGTTTAAACATACCTGTCAACTTTTGCCATAGAAATATTGCATTGAGATTGTGGAAAGGTAGCTATTTCACAATGCCCAGAGGAACTGGGAAATGAAGCATAAGTACATATGATTGTATTTATCTAAAAAAATACTCATAAATACTTCATCAAGCTCAATACTCCCCTAAAATGCAAACCCAAAGGATCCTCCAAACACTTCGTCTTAAAGGAAACTCCACCACAATCTTGTCTGTCCCAATGAACAAGAAAAGCTCACATTTCCAATTACCTCATTTAGGAAGAGCTGTCCAGCTTTTAAAAAAACACAGAAACACTTTTTACTCTCCTAGAGAGCCAAATAACTCCAAAGAGGCCCTTCTACCCTTATGAGGCAGTTATCACTCCAGCAGTTAGCACATGTAAGGTACAGTGAGAATTTCACCTCATTTTAGTCAATTGCAGTGCACGCTTTGAATACTTTTGTCAATCTGGTTATGTCCAGAAAATGACCTCTTCTCATACCACCTAACTTACCTGCCACAATCTTACATCTTCTACACAAAATGAAGACAGAACAACGAGAACTGAAGCTATTGCTGATCTGACATCTCACAGGAAAGCCCATCTATACCCAAGAACTCACAATC